GCAACATCTAGTCTAACATCCAATGCCAAGCCCAGCAAAGATTAAATGTGCCACAGACAATCCAACCCCAACCCAACAAACTACCACACACTCTGGCCAACATGTATCTTTTCCCACTCATTTCGTGTCACACAGACACTGGTGGGGCCACCAGCGCCCCACCAGTGTCTGCCACAGCTGTGGCCACCAGCGCCAGAGACCATGAACACAATCTGCCAACACTTCTAATGAGTTGTTGCCAGATTGTGCAACAGATATAAAAAAGAAAAGGCATGGAGGTTCATTAAGTTGTTTGTGTGTAGCCTGACAATGTAGACGACAGCTCTGATCTTATTTTAACGAAGTTCTTTTGTTACTGTTTGTGTGTGCCTGCTTATTGTTGGTATTTTAAGGATCAGTAGGATTGAATGACAAAAACTAATCCACTCCTCTCGTGAAGTTCTGTTTTATTGTAACTCTTGATCAAGCTGTTCTTTTTGTCATTGAAAGAATGGAGATACAAATCTTGTAGTGAGAAGAAAGTAGACAATTGCTTGTGATATTGCAACTTTGACTTCTGGATCCCATCCTGCAAGTCAGGCAACATTGTCAACCATTTGAAAGAATTGGTGTACATTCACAGAGTAACTACTTGTGTTTGAAAATGTAGGGATCATTTCCAAAAATCCTGTAACAATAAGGGAAGCTGTACTGGCTTCCCTTATTGTTACATCAAGAGGGTTTCTACAAAACCTGTCTGGTTCACTCATTATGTGCGTCTCTGGGTACAAGATGAAAAACAAATAACCAATATACAAAATTTTACCAAAAGCCTTTCTTGCAGCCTTCTCATGTGGCTAATCATCAATCTCTACCATTTGCCAACGTGTCTCAAAATCCTGTCGCAAACACTATTTGTAAGTTTTTATTTTCTCAACACAAAGTCGAGTTAACTTCAAATCCTATATCTATACTAATATTATAAAGAGGTAATGTTTGTATGTATGTATGTATGTATGTATGTATGTATGTATGTATGTATGTATGTATGTATGTATGTAAGTTTATATGCAGCAGGTAATCTCTGAAACTACTCATCTGATTTCAAAAATTTTTTCACCAATATTTAGAATGGAATTTCAGGGTGACATAGGCTGTATATTATTCCGTTAAACATGGGAAATGGACAGTTCTTTACAGTAAGCCTTCCCCGTAAGGCTTACCGTAAAGAACTCTGCTTCTATTTATACTATTTTAGATGCGGTTTTTTGCGTTTTTGATTGCATTTTAATAGGGTATGTTAACAGAATGTACGCTAAGAAGGGATTTTTCAATATTTTCCCCTGCGGGGGAGAGGGACAGGATTAAGGCTTACTGTGAAGAACTTGGCTTCTATTATACTATTTTAGATGCGGGTTTTTGCGTTTTTGATTGCTATTTAATAGGGTACGTCAACAGAATGTACACTAAGAAGAAATTTTTTGAAAAATTCCCCCCACGGGGGAAATGTTATACATTTATAATAGATACATTTTGAGCCAAAACAAGGTATGGCGGGGTCTGCTAGTACATGATATTCAGAGTGTATTCAAATGTTATAACACTTTATGTTCCTGTTACACTCAGACATTTCATCTTTTCACAGCAATTACGTATTAGTCTAATCCACAAATTTTCTTACATGACAATCCTACTGTCAGTAGGCAATCAAAAATATAGGCAAGAGGAGGAGCTAGTATGTGGAAAGTCCCTGAAATTTTTGCTTTGCATAATCACTGTCTTTACCCAGTCATCTCGTCAATTGGAGTATAGTCTGTTGACTTTCAAAACTCTTTCTTTGTACAGTCCTGAAATCACTGGTTGACAGAAATTTAAATGCATGTTTGCTGGTTGCCTTCATGTTCTTCCTGTAACGACACCAAAAATAAAAGAGAGTCGCTCTCTCAATCACAAGTCACTATATACCCTCTTCTGCTCCCTGCTGGGTTTATTGCCCCTCCAGGCTATAACAGCCAATGGAACATTCTAGAAGCTTATAAACAAAGGCTTTGTAACCGACAATTTCATTTTATATAGAAAAATGACAAGCGATTGTCACAACTGTATGTCCTTTGCAAGGGTAATATCCATCCTTTTATTAATGGCATTTTATGCTGTAGTGTACAGTAATTAAGTTGTCTAGTTGTGGCATCTATATAATGTATGATTGTGTTATTGGTAGGATGTGAGATTGGTATATCATATATAACTGAATGTTCAGAAATATGTGATATACAAATATATTATAACATAATTAACTGTCCATAATTAACAGTTGTTTTAATTTGGAAATATACCCTTATTTTTTTAACAAACAAACAAGTTTTACAGATAGATTAATTATATAAGGAATGGCATGGTACAGAATTTATATTCAGATTTGGTGTAAAATGTAGATAGTGGACAAAGAAAGAATTTACTTTTTGATTATGGCTGTATGCAATAGTCTATTTTAGTTAGTTATTGTTTTTTTATTATTATTGCATTTTCCAGCAAAACTGCATTTGTCATAAACCAGAGAACTACCACTGAAACCTTTAAAAATTCAGTTTAATTTTAATTTTAAAATTTTTTCAGTTATCTTAAATCAGCTTCCTCAGAATAAAAGTAAACAAATTACAATTTAAAAATGAAGATGAACTCTGGAGTGTCCTCTGAAACAAGTTGGTTTTGAATATGATCACTTTAGAACAACAAAAATATAAATGCATATGTGGGACCTCTGTTTAGACTAAAATATAATTATACAAACCAAAAGCAAAAACACACAAAGATAATGTAATTAGATAATTTGAAAAATTAAAATTTATATGCATGTGTCAGATTTACATGTAGATTAAAACATAAATGTATAAAAAAGAAAAAATAACAATAAAAAACACACAAAAATAAAATAAGCTTAAAAAATAACTTACATAACTCATAAACTTAATTGTATCAACAAAAATGCATATGCCATATAAAAACTTAGGCATATGCCCAATGGACATAAATGCAAGAATATGGGAATTACAAGGAATTAAATTAATGTTGCATTCAACGAAGATCTGGAAGAGAACTGTGCAAGGAGGGTTAAGGCAAAAGACAGCAAGACATAAAGAACACTTTAGTCTCATGCCAGTAAGAGCAACAACAGATGCAATCTTTGCTCTAAAATGGTCTGATGGAAAGGTCCAGAGAAATGCAGGCAGAAGTACAGATGGTACACACAGACCTGGAGAAAGCATACAACAGGGTGCATATATAAGGTATAGATATATATGAGGGTAACAGGAATACCAAAAAAGTATATATGACTTGTAAAGGAAATGTATAAGGAAGCAATGACTCAAGTAAGTAGTAGTGTATGTATGACAAAGGGATTCACTATGACAGTTAGACTGCAAGAGGACTCAGTCCTTAACCTATTTCTGTTCGATTTGGTGATGGATGTATTGAAAATGTAAAGATCAAGGCATTATGGAGTATGCTGTTTATAGACAACATTGTGCTGTATGAAACATCCCAAGATAAAGAAGAGAAGAAGCTGAAAGAATGGAGAAAAGTGCTGGAAGAGAGGTGTGAAGATCAGCAGAGCAAAAACAGTATAGCTGAGATGTGGGCAATTACAAGATCTCAAGAAAAAAAGATAGACAGTGGAGATGAGAATGTTCAGACGGATGTGTGGTGTGATGAAGAAGGACAGAATTAAGAATGATTACATAAGAGGAACAATCAAAATGAGCCCTATAAGCAAGAAGATGCAGAAAATTAGATTAAGATGATTTGGACATGTGGAGAGAAGTGAAGACTATGTTGGAAAGAGGATTGGGAAGTTGAAAGTAATAGGGAAAAGGAAGTGAAGACCAAAGCTGATATGAAGATACAAGATGGCAGAGGATTTGGGAGAGAGGGTGCCTTGAATAGAAAGAAGTGGAGAAGACAGATTAAAGATGGGAATGCTGACCCCATGTAAATCTGGGAACAACCAAAGATGAAGTAGAAAGAAGATTGTTATTAATAGGTCCCTCTATCTGTGCTTGCATACGAATTTCAATGGCCTCCACAGTTCTGAGTTTTCTTTGTTTCAAGTTCTTGTAACTTGAGGAGGACAACTAAAGTGGCTGAAAACATTTGTTTTTCTTCCATTTATTTAAGATATATAAAATATCAGTGCTGGAAGTAGCCTATAAAAACATCTATGTTTGTTAAACAGTTCCAGCTTTTAGGAGTTATTTTTTAACCATGGCTTCATTGGCCAAGTTATACAGAAAACCAATATTTTTGTTTCTATAATTAGTACAACCAAAATCGAGCAATATTGTCAAGATTTTGATTTTGTTTTACTAATGCCATGCCATACATGATTTAGACATAAAATTGCATGACTTTATTTCACTTGCTAAGATTTCTGAGATTGCCACCAGATATCAGTAACTTTGTTTTCAGCTGCCAAAAGAAAACCAAGCCCAAACAAGCAATTATTTATTGTGACATTATCACAATGACAAGCTGCAATTTTTAATCATACTTTAAATTTATTTAATTTAAATATGCTCTCCATCTCAAATTAATAGTGACTTGCCTGTGTACATCATACTTTTCCTTTAACAATAATCATGCCAGTCATCTATCTAACACCTTCCAGGAAAAAATTTTTTAATTTTATATACAAACTTCCAATGCAAACTACAAATCATATTATTTCGTTTGCATTGGAAGTTTGTATATAGTTAATCAGGGTCTCTTGCCCCTATCTGATCTTGACTTTCATCTATCTAACAATGTTCTTAAGATTGAGGAAAGCAGACAGACAAACAAATGACAGTGAAAATTTATTTCTACAATTTCTTCAAACTTCAGCCATATTATATATTAATAATCATATGATATAGCCAAATAATAAATTCAACTTTATCATTTCATTACTTATGTTACTGTTTATGATCAAATTTAATAATATTGCTTAATAAATATAACTGAACATAATAAAAAAAACTTACTTTAAAAAGAGATAGTTCTAAAGCTGATTTTGCTTGAAAATTATATTTGACTTTGGCGATGCCTTCAGTTGTCCTTTTAGGTTGCATATCTTCATTATCTTGAATTATAATCTGCAATTCCATAAAATTGTAGTTTAAATCTATAAATTATTTTCCATTCCTAAAGCAGCCTTCTAATTGTTATACATTTCTACTTCTTCCTTCAACTCCTTCAGCTACAAAATTTCAGTTTTCTGCATGTTAATCAAGCACTGCTTTAAGCCATAGATCTGAATTCAGAACTGAACAAGATCATCAATCTAATACTACAAAATGGTCTCTGACAGCATATCATCCTCCACCTCATCAAGAACATTGTACGGATCAGTCTAATTATGTCCTAAATGTAAACATACCTCTTCCTTCTGTCCAATATTTAAAAAAAAAGGATTTGCTACAATTTTATCTTCCTTTGCACAATTTTCTGATGAGCAAATTAAATCAGATAAGCTGTACTACTTATCTGATCTAATTTGCACTTGCCCATCAGAGTTGACTGGCAAGTGCATCAATTTTAAGGATGGGAAGTATGATATTGTATGCCTGGCAATACTTTTATGAAAAATCTGGCAGCACTGATCCAAATTGACTTTGTATTATTTACTAGTGGGCTAGATCCTAAAATAATATACACACTTGTTGGCTTTTTATATATATTTTGAATTTGTGTAATTTCCACCTTTAAGTTTCTGTATGTGTTATATGTTCCAAATACAGTAAAGCCTCGAAAACTCGGCACTCGATAACCCGGCACTCCGAATAACTCAGGCACACCCTGGCAAGGCAAAAAAATCCTTAGTTAATTAATTTTCATGATAAAGACAGCTTTATGCCTCATAAAGTATTTTTCTGAGGTCTGTCTTATCAGGTAAATTACTGTACACAGTGTATTCATTAATTTTCATTTTCATGTAGTAAAGGCTCTATGCCTTCATAAAAGATGTACTTTTCCTTTGTTTAAGGGTATTTGGGCAGTTTATTCTCTGTTGTATTCTCAAGTAAACAATACATACATTCATTCATTCATTCATTATGTTTTATTGTACCAAAAATAAGTACAAGACCAGGCCCCGCGTTTGGCATTACCTGATGACACAGTTAATGGGATACAAGAGAAAATTACAGTATTTCCCGAAACACAATGAAATCAAATACATAAAAATAGACAATACGATACAAAACAAACATGAAGTACGTGAGAAGAGACCAGAATATACAGTATAACACAATACTTTAGAATATGGCATTAGTTATAAACAAAGCTCATTATGTACTGTACCAATTGGCAGAAGCCTAACATGAAAGCTAGACTCGTTAATTAACAAGAGTAAAATACAAAATAGATCCGTATGTTCAGAAGAAACAGTATACATAAATTAGTCCTTACATGTGACTTTCTGTAAATATTGGTTTTTAACTCTTATATAACTAGGGCATTCTTTGTCCATAGCGTTGTGATGAAATAGTTCACATTTTTCTTTTACACAATTGGTGCAACGTGGTAAAGATACTGAATCTATACATTCCTTAAACAAGTGATCACCTTGGCAATGACTGCAGACACGTTTTGGGGACGAACATTCCTTTGCAAAATGTCCGAAAGCTAAACACTTGAAGCACTGTCTAACTGGAATATATTCGAACACTGGACAACTACTCCACTTGATGTACTGTACATCTTTCCCTCCTTAAGTAATCGTTCTCTGATACTTGGAGTGACCTCAATGATCCATGAAAGATATTCACTGTTTTTTTGTTTTAATGCATATTTAACTCTAACATGATCTGGAAATTCATCTTTTTCAACACGAAGCGCCAAATAATTTTGTTCACAAATGTGTTTTTCAAGATCATCTTTAGTGATAGACTTAGGAACCGAAACAATCTTAATAAGAGGTCGTTGTAGGTTTCCTCTACGAGCCTTGAGTCCCGAGACTTTCTCCAATAAACATTCCAAAACTTCAGCATCTGAATCATCGCAAACATCAATTGCGACTCCCCCCTGGTTAATTTTTCTTATCTTTTTTATCCCTACACCAGCTGCTGTTGGATCCAAAAGTTGCTCTTGTTTGTTCAGAGGTAAAGTTCTCGTTTTCACTATAAACCAGTATTGTACAGGTAGGTGAAGGTGGTGGTGGTTTTGGCTTTGGTTGCATTGTAGTCAAGCCTCTGGTTAGTATTGCACTATATGTCGGAACAGATAAAACAAAAGTTTCATTTTTACTCTGTATAATATTGTTTTTAATCAATTCACTGATTTCTTGCTTGGTATTATGGACAGCCTCTTGAACGTTTTTATTACAAATCTCCAGGGCTTCTTTGATATCTTCTGTAGTCTCTAAATTCCTTATTTTATTGTTTGGAATCTCTGTTATGCAAGCTTTCTTGACAGCAGCCTCAGTTAATTCAATCATCCTGTTAAGTTGTTTCACTATAAACTTCTTATGTTGTGCAGTCCCCAGTCGGTCATCCTTATTAGCAGTGATATATTTTTGTGTCTCCTGAATAATGACTTCAGCATCCTGGCGAAAGTCTTCCATTATTTCTGTCTAATTTAGAAGTTTTATCTTCAAAAAACAAAGAAAATTATCAGTAAGAAAGCGATGACGTCAGATCAGCAACGATTCAAGTCCGTTGACGACCGTTATTACCGTTGTCAGACCGTTAGCAGTAGAAGTGGAAAAAGTCTTCAAAAGTTTAAATCGTCACCATTCAAATTCTATTTGAATTAAGTATTCCAAAATTATTCAGTAAGGAGCACTTATGGTCCACTACCGGACACGGTTAAGATTTTTCACGAATGTCAACACGTAGGCCCGATTCGGGCCGCCAAATGTCAAACGAAAAAGTCAAAAAACTGAAAAACGGGTGGACCAAAATACACAAGAATTGGAGATCTAACTCACCGTTCGATATATTGTCCTCCACCATTCACAATTCCGGAAAATCGGTCGTAGAGATTACGAAAAGTCAGTCCGAAAAAAAAACGTGAACTTTAAGTCTTCATATTTCCAAAAATATTGGGTCCATATTATCAAATTTGGTATCAGAAGAGTCACAATCACCAGTTCTATCCAGATGACCATAAAAAACTGGACTAGAAACAGATTAACCTATCGAAATCACGAGAAATCGAGGAGCTCGATTTTGAACACACACACACAGAATCCCCTAGCGGCCAATCTCCAACAATACATACAAGTACAGTCAGTGGTGATATTCGAAATATGTAACAAAGGGTTCGCTAACAGAAAAATTTTTCCTTAAACACCTTAAACCCCAAGCCCACGATATCTCGGGCAAGTTACATAGCGTTACATAAAACTCAGGCGTTTGGACCCACTACAATTTTTGGTTTTTTTTGGATTTTTGGAATGTTTTTTAAGTCTTCAAATTTTTTCAAAAATTTTTTCCCGCGCGAAAAAAATTATCGCGATTTCAATTTACCTTTAATGACACACGATTCACGCTTAATTGCTTTTTTATTGTTTTTTAATGGGAGTTTGATATCAAATTTCATTCATCGTTCTAAAGTTGTAGTGCACAAATTTTCCTTCGGTAAAGTTATTTAAAGCTAGTTTCTGATGTCAAAAACGACCTCCGATAGTTTTTAAATTTTTTTAATTAATAGATTTTATTATATATAAGTTTAATTAAGTCGGGGGGTCGGAAATCGCAATAAAAATTTTAATTTTTTAAAAATATACGGCCAGCTAGTATTCACCCTACTATAAACCCATCGCCTCCCGAGACTTCTATGAGAATGTCCCGGGAAATCCAACTCCAGCTGTGTTCAAGGTCATCCAGCTGTTTAAACAATGACTCATCAGCGTCAGATTTCACAGAAAGACAAGACAAAGGAAAATAAAATCTGAAGCTTTTTCTTCAGAATTAACGCATTTCTTTCGTTTTTTCAGTTTTAAGTATTTTTTATGTTTAATTACATCAATATCAACAATTGCTAGAGTCCCAAGGAGTTAACTGCTTTCCCTATGACTTTTTCTCAAGAAAAAACTTTTCTAAATCATTTATTTTATCATTAGGTATTATTATAATAATAGACAGATGTCATCGTTTCTCGAAATACAATATCTTTTTTATTTCACTGTCGACAGCCCGACACGTGTTCCGCAGCCATCTTGTATTTTCTCGCACGCGTAGGATTGTGGGATCCCTCGTATGACTAGACCTAGTTTCAAGAACTCTCTTGAGTCGATCGCGATTAAGGCTGCGTACACACTAGGCATTTTTAAACGCGCGTTTTAAAGAACCAAGAGTTCTACATAGGCGTACACACTCAAACGCGCGCTTTTGGCCAAGCGCGCGTTAAACGTGCGTTTATAGATTTTTCTTAAAACGCGCGTTTTTCGGGCACTTTAGTAAAACTCTTAATTCTTTAAAACGCGCGTTTAAAAATGCCTAGTGTGTACGCAGCCTAAATCTCGTTTCAGTCGAGATTGAAACAGTCGATGGAGGTTATATGCGAACGGTGTACAAGGGGAACATAGTGAATGGGGTATAAGGCTCTAGTTTAGTAGTGTTACAGAGTATAATACGTATATTTTAATATATTTTTTAAAAGAAACAAAACCGCTGAGAAATGTTACATGTGTTTAACAATGGGTTCGGAAAACTTTGAAAATGTTAACAACGGGTTCGGCCGAACCTGTGTGAACCCGCTGAATATCACCACTGAGTACAGTACAGTATTTTCTGAGGAAACACTCATACTTATTTTTTTAATCCCATTCCCGATAAACCAGCATTTTTACAAACTCGGCCACCCTTCGGTCCACATTAGGCTGAGTTTTCGAGGCTCTACTGTATTTCAAATTGTTTGATTCTAAGCTTTCCAATTTTGGAATTCAGTTGGTTCACAAACCTAAAGCAAACCTTGGTTAAAGTTGAAAATATTTGTTTGATGTTTTTATTAAATGTTTTTGCTACTGGATTTAAAAATTTGTTAATAGTTTTTACTAAGGAGAGTTGATGCACCCATTCACTAAAAACAGATCTTATAAACTGTCTACCAAATGTGTTATACTTTGGTATTCCAATTTAATAACAGCACATATTTACAAAAATAGGGAGTACCCATGGGCAGCCCTATTTCAGATGTAAATAAATGTATACTTGCTTACTGGAGACTAAATTCAATAAAATAAAAATAAAAAACCATTGAAATTTCCAACACAATTCTTTAATATCATAAAAATGTTTTCAAATGCATTAAGCGTCCATCATCAGTTATTTCTCTAAATCGAATGAGGAATTCAAAAAATTACGCAAACAAATTTCAAACAAACGGTTATATAATAACCACTTAATCCTACTCAGCCTCTTATGCAAAATATTAGATACATCCAACACACCTTATTGCTGAGAAACATATATTTATTACACCAAACTAACGTTTTCGGCTCCATTTATGGGCCATCTTCAGGTTTACTGTTGTTCGATTCTAATATACAACCGAACACGTTCAAAATTAAACCAAATTAGAACATGCGTTTAAATTTAACCAATAGAATAAGCATAACCAAACTAAAACAATAAATAAAATACCAAACTAACAGAAAAATGAAAAATGAAAAATAAAAAATAAAATACGGTGTTAAGCCGCAAACAATAAGGAACAATTCCTAATACATTAACCCAGATATCTATTGAGTCACTGTAGACGCATTATTACTCGTGTTACTTCTTACTATATATTTCCAGGATGACGGTAATACCGTCGCATCTTTATAATTTAAACATCTGTCAGCCAAACTCGCTCTGTAAATTTCACATTTCTCAGTTATGGATGACAACGTTGGCGAGCGTACTTTTGTAAGAATTTTGGCATCCTCCCATTTAACAATCGAACCATCCGCTTGCGCCATTTTGGATAATGCTGTTGTACACTTGTTTTTTGCGACATCGTATCGGTGCTCCTTAATTCTCACCCTAAGGTTTCTATTAGTGACCCCAACATAGTCCTTATCGATTCCCAACTGGTCATTTTTGTAGGGAATTGCATAAACTCCTGCCTGTTCGTTATCATCAATTCTTTCTTTGTCATTTCTAATCAACCTATACACTGTGGGGGCCCTTTTAT